AAAAAAAAAAAAAAAAAAAAAAAAAAAAGATTCATGGAATAAATCTTATATATTAAAACTATGTGAACCATAATATATTTTAAAAAAAAATAAATACTATTTAAATATATATATTTTATTTTTTATTATAAATAGGGCTAATTTTAACACTATTTAATACAAATAAGTATTTTATATATTATTCTCCGTCATAATAACATAAAGAGAAGAAAAAAAAAAAATAAACAAAAAAAAAAGTTTAATAGACTAAATAGATTAAATAGAAAAATTCATAAAGTAAATCACAAAATTAGGAATTAAATAAGTGAAAATAGATATTAAAAAAAAAAAAAAAAAAAAAAAAAAAAAAAAAAAAAAAAAAAAAAAAAAAAAATAGATAGATAGATAAATAGATAAAGATATTAATAGGGGTCTCTATTCTTTATGTATATAATAATTTTTACTTTAATAAAGTAATGAAATTAAAAAATAAAATTTTTTTTTTTTTAATTACATTTTTTTTATTTTCCATGTTTTATTATACAAAAAAGGATCAAATATTTGCCTTGAACTATCCCTTCTTAATTTTTTATTTAATGAAGGTAATACATATTTAATTTTTCGTTTTCTTCTAAGTTCATACTTTTTTATATGCATATTTTCTAAATTATATACATCATTTCTTATCTTCTTCATTGGATATGATAAATCATCAGATACATGTAAGCCATCTATATTGTCTAAAAATGAATCAGCACTTTTTTCATAATATTTTTGTTTATTTAATATATTATGTTTTTTATTATTAATAATAAAATTTGATGATTTTTTTTTATTTTTTTTTATTTTTTCTTCCGTAATGTTATTTTTCTGAATAATATTTTTTATTCTCTTTCTTTTTATATCTCCTTGAACTTTACTTTTTTTTAATTGTTTTTGTAATTTGCAAATTTTATCATTTTTAAAACTTAAATTATCATTATTTTTCTCATTTATTGTGTTACTCGGGTTTTTCATAACATATCTTTTACATAAATTAATATTTTCCATAATATCACTAGTATTTTCATTGATATTATTGTCTGTGTTGTTCATAATAACACTATTGTATTTATCACTGTTAACTAAATTATCATTACAACTGTTGTCGATATTTTCTATATTAATAACAGTTTTTCTTTTTTTTTTTTTTTTTTTTTTTTTGATTTTATTAATTTGTTTTATTTCATCAAGTGAATTATTCAATCTATTATATGGTAATAAAAATGGATTAATGTCAATATCTATGTAATTTGAAGATAAAGTATTATTCATTATATTTTTATAATTTACGACTTTGTATAAATTATGAAGCTCATGATTACTGTAATTACTAGAATTAGAATTAAGTTTTCCTTTTACTTTATCAAGACAACTAACTTTATGTTTTTGAATAATATTAAAAGGGATAGTGTTGGATGACAAGATGTCTGATGAAAATGAATTTAATTTGTAATTATTTTTATTTTGAGCAAATATGTTCATTAAATGTTTATCTAAAATATATGACTTTTTTTTAGTTATATAATCATGTGATAAGTTTTTTCCTAATATATTATCATTATAAATGTTTATATTATCTTTGTTGTACTTTATTCTATTATAAACGTTCATGTTATTATTCCTTAATGTTTCACTACTATCATTGATATTACGCAATTTTTCTTCGATTGATGAAATACTTTCTTGTATATTCGTTTCGTTATCATTCACATTTTCGTAAGATAAATGGTTGTCCATATAATATGTATTGTTATCATTAGAGTTCATATAACAATTCAAATTTTTACTCCATTTGTAAAAATTATTTTTATTATTTAAACCATGTAAATTAAGATCTTCATAATTGTTTTTTGATAAAAAAATATAGGGAAATCTAGAATTACTTTTGATTTTCTGTGTTAATAATTCACCATTTAACTCTTCATTTTTTATATTAATTAAATTATATGTATCTTTTACGTCGTTAATTAAATGATTGTTATAATTTATCATATTACCATTATATACATCATTTATGTGATTAAAACTTTCCAAATTAATCTTATCATTCAAGAAATTGTTTTGATTTTTTGTTTCATTATACAATTTATTTTTTTTATTTAAAATGTTCACATTTTTCTCATATAAATAATTGTTACTGTTCATATTATTTCTACATGGCATATAATTCATCTGATTATAAATAGAATTTATTATATGACATTTTTTTCGATATTTTTTAGAAATATAAGGGGATTTTTTTATCTTTCCATATATTAAATTTGAATTTTTCATTTGTTCATTATATATTTTTGTATTTTTATTTAAATAATCTCTTCTCTTATCGGGGATAAATGAAACACATTTAAAATCTTTGTTACCATTTAAGCTATCCTTTTCATTTTGTACATATGGGCTATTAAAAAATACTGAATCATTTTGAATATTGTATAAATCTATATTTTTAAAATTATTTAATATAATATTTTCGTAATCCTTTTTTTTTTTGCTTAAAATTTCAGATAATGTTTTATTTTCTTGAGATAATCTTAGAACATCAATTTTAGTAGAATTCATAGAATTATCAGAAAAATCAAGTTCATCAAAATTTTCTGAAGATGAATATTCATAATTCATATCACTTTTGTTAATTATTAACTCTTTTTTAAATTTTTTTTTGTCATATTTTTTTTTTTTATCTAAAAGAATTTGATCATAATTTCCTAAATTGTCATCTTCTTTTGAATTTTTATCTTGTTCTAATTTTTCGTCTTCTTTTAAATTTTTATCTTGTTCTAAATTGTCATCTTCTCTTGAATTATTATCTTGTTCTAAATTGTCATCTTCTTTTGAATTATTATCTTGTTCTAAATTGTCATCTTCTCTTGAATTATTATCTTGTTCTAAATTGTCATCTTCTTTTGAATTATTATCTTGTTCTGATTTTTCATCTTCTTTTGAATTATTATCTTGTTCTAAATTGTTATCTTCTCTTGAATTTTTATCTTGTTCTAAATTGTCATCTATATATGAATTATTATCTTGTTCTAAATTGTCATCTTCTTTTGAATTTTTATCTTGGTCTGATTTTTCATCTTCTTTTGAATTTTTATCTTGGTCTAAATTGTCATCTATATATGAATTATTATCTTGTTCTAAATTGTCATCTTCTCTTGAATTATTATCTTGGTCTGATTTTTCATCTTCTTTTGAATTTTTATCTTGTTCTAAATTGTCATCTATATATGAATTATTATCTTGTTCTAAATTGTCATCTTCTTTTGAATTTTTATCTTGGTCTGATTTTTCATCTTCTTTTGAATTTTTATCTTGTTCTAAATTGTCATCTATATATGAATTATTATCTTGTTCTAAATTGTCATCTTCTCTTGAATTTATTATCTTGTTCTGATTTTTCATCTTCTTTTGAATTTTTATCTTGTTCTAATTTTTCATCTATATATGAATTATTATCCTGTTCTAAATTGTTATCTTCTCTTGAATTATTATCTTGTTCTAATTTTTCATCTATATATGAATTATTATCTTGTTCTAAATTGTCATCTTCTTTTGAATTTTTATCTTGTTCTGATTTTTCATCTATATATGAATTATTATCTTGTTCTAAATTGTCATCTTCTTTTGAATTTTTATCTTGTTCTAAATTATCATCTTCTTTTGAATATTTATCTTCTTCTGATTTTTCATCTTCTTTTGAATTATTATCATGTTTTGAAATACTTAATTGTAAATTATCTTTTAACTTCAAATTTTTCTTCTCAAATTTATGTTCATTTAATTTCATAATATCTGTAATGTTTATATTTTCACTAGTGCAGTTTATTATATTCTCAAATGAATTTTTTAATTTAGAGAAATTTTTCAAATTTTGTTGAAAATTTTTAATTTCATAATTTTCATCATTACATTTATTTGCAAATTTTGTTAATTTAAAATTATCTAAAAATAAAATATCTTTGTTTGTTTCATTATTTTTGGTTGATGAATAAGTATTTAAATTATATTTTCTTTCTTCATTTTTCGTAATTATATTATTTTCGTGATGTTTTTTATAAATAGAATTATCTAATTCATTGCATAATATATTATTTAATATATCTGTATTATTAAAATTATTTTTTTTTTCAAGTCCTTTTTTTAATTCATAATTTTCTTTAACTAAATAATTATTTTCTATTTTATATATTTCTATAAAATTTTCTATATCGTTTATTTTATTTTTTAATATAACAAATGTATCAAACAAATGATTATATGAAAATTTCATTTCATTTATAATATCTTCATAAAATGAAATAATGCAAAAAATATCATTTTTTACTCCTACTTGTTTACATAACGGTATCATTTTTTTTTTTTTTTTTTATACATATATATTTATTAAATAGATTTAAAATTATCATATTACTTTTCAAATAAAAATTGATACATTATAATAATAGAAAAACAAAATATTAAAAAAATAAAAAAAAAAAAATAAAGGGATAATGTAGAAACAAAAACAATGAAAAGACAAGAAAAAAAAAAAAAAAAGTAAATAAAATAAAAATAAAAGATATACCTTACACTATTTTTATTTTTTTTTATTTAAATCTAATTATAGTTTTTATAAAAAAAATAACATAAATATAAAATTTAAAATGTTTTAATATCAAAACTTTTATTTATAATAGTTGCATCTACTGAAACATATATATAAAAAATTTCCATGTATAACAAAAAAAAAAAAAAAAAAAAAAAAAAAAAAAAAAAAAAATTGAGAATATATTTAGAGAAAATCTAAAGTTTTAATAATTTTTAATTAAAAACTTCACATCAAATCAACTAAAATAAATTTAGAAATATATGTTAAAACATAATAAAAGAAAAAATATAAAAGTAAAACTCAAAAAAAGAAAAATATTTATTTACCTATATAAATATAAGTATAAATAATAAAAAAAAAAAAAAAAACTAATAACTGACATGTATGTACAGAATAATTATTTATGAATGTAAATTTTTCATTAAGAAAAAATTATTATAATTTATGATGCATAACGAAGAATAGTTCACAAAAAATTATATTCAAATAAAAAAAACTGTAGTAAAAATTGTATCCAATTAAAACTTTTAATAAAAAAAATGTATGTATATTTAAATTTATAAACAATAATTTTATGTATTTCAATCTTTTTTTTTTTTTCTCTGTTAATATGATTATTATATTTTATTAGTTCTATAAATTTTTTAGTTCTCCTTATAATTCATTACTAAATGTTAAATTAATCATTTATTTTTTTTTTTTTTTTTTTTTTTTAATATTTAAAATGATAAATCAAAATTTTTGATTTTATTAAAAAGAGGTGGCCTCGTAACTTTTTTATAAGCAATGATTTCATCTCCCGTTTCAAAATTGTCGACATTAGTGTTGAAAATAATAGCATTATCATTATTTGTTTTTGTTAATTCAGTAGTATTCTGTTTGTTTTTCTGCATAGAAAGAATAGTAATTTTATCATGGATAAGTTGTTTATTTCGTAACACGGTGAAATAATTTTTTATATTGAAAGATCCCTCTTTGATATCAACAGATAAAACTTTTTTTTTTGCTTTATTTTTTTTTAATGTATAATATCCTGTTTTCGTTATAACCATTCTTGAAACAATTTCATATACATACATTGAATCAAAATAGAAATTACATATGTTTTCAATATCTTGAAATAACTCATAAATAATATTATGAGTCCGTAAAATAACATTATTATTTTCAATAACATGTTGTATTTTATTATCTACATCAATATTGAATCCAATTAAAAAGCAAGGTTTCACATGCTCACAATATTTTAAATCGTTGATATTAAATGTTCCAATTCCTTTTGTAATAATTTTAAAAGGTTCCCATTTCTCAAAAAAATCACTTAATTCTGTTTCATCATTAAAAATATTCTTATTGACATAATTTCTATCAATAAAATTATTTATATCACAATACTTTTCTTTTTTTTCTTTCTTGTTATAATCATTTATTCCTTCTATTATAGCATCCATACTACCTTCATCACATGTTTTTATTATTAAATGGATCTGAGGTATTTTAAAAGAATTAATTTCCATCATGTTTTTTTTTTTTTTTTGAATTTTTTTTTCATTCAAATTTAAATCATTTTTTTTCATATTTCTCTCATTTATATTATTGGAGTGTTCTTTTTTATTTAAGATATCACTGTTTCTTTTTTTTTCAACTGATGAAAACATTTTCTCTTTATCAATGTCTAAATAATAATTATTGATTAGATTATATTGAGCCATTTTCAATTTATATTTGGATATTTTTTGTGCACTTTTTAAATTGCTCATCTCTAAAATTAAGTCTCCATATTTTATATTGTCATCTGCAAAAGATATAGAGCTAGTTATTTGAACGACTTCTGATGGATACGCTTCTTTGACTACTTTTCCATCGCAATTTATAATTTTTTTAATTTTTGTATATGAATGTCCAATTAATAAATAAGAATTCACCTTTAATGTTCCTGATTTGCATATTACTGTTAATGATTTTCCTTTAACTGGATCTACTCTTTTTTCTAATAAATAAGCTGAACACAATGATCCATAATCACACATTAAGTTTAACTTATCACTAACATTTAATATTGTCTTTTGTAATAAGTCAATATTAATATTTTTTTTGGCTGATATAGGAACTAAAGGTACTTCACCATTTTCTAGTTCTGTTACAATATCATAATTTAATAAGGATTTTGAAATTTTGTCCAAATTACAATTATATTTGTCAATTTTATTTGCAGCTATTATTAAAGGAATATTATATTTTTTAGTTAATTCTATACATTCTATGGTTTCACTCATTATACCATCATCAATTGAAATTACTAATACAATTAAATCAGTACACTGAACACATCTCTGCCTAATTTTTTTAAATACAGAATGACCTGGAGTATCTAAAAATGTAATTTTCCTATTAGTTTTTTTATCTAATACTTCAAAAGCACCTAATTTTTGTGTAATCCCTCCTATTTCATTTTTTGCTATATTAGAATTTCTAAATTGATCTAATAATGTAGTTTTTCCATGATCTACATGACCCAAGATAGTTACAATAGGATTTCTTTTTTTTAAATTTATAGAACTATATTTTAATTTATCTAATACATTTAATTCTTCACATAATAACTCAACTACCTCTTTTTCTAGTCTTGTATTTTTATTAATATAATCATTATCTAAAATGTATTTACATACATTAATTATTTTTTCTTTATCTATATTTAGGTGATGACTTAATGAATTAACTGTAATATTATTACTATCTAAATATTCATACTGTTTTATAAAATTATTACTTTTTTTTAATGAATGATTATTTAAATTGCATATTTCAGATTTTTCATCTTTATTAGATATATATACTTTTTTTTTTATAATTTGTTCTTCATTTATTTCTTTCTTAATTTTACTAGTCATATCAGAATATTCCTTGTTTTGAAAAATACATTTCTCATTACTGCTTTTATTAGGGTGTTCTGTATTTTCAATATTTTCTATTTTTTTCTTTTTTTCTCTTAAATCAAATAATATGGTCGAAATAGCTATATTTTCATTATCAGTTTTTGAAATATCATCGATATTTCTATATAAAGATGCACTATTTATTTTTTCAAAAATACTTAAATTATTAAAATGACTCTTTTTATTTTTTATAATTTTATTTTTTTCATTGTTTTCTATTCTTTTATCATATATTGTATTTTCTTTATTACTTACAGCACTTTCATTTTTTTGAATTTTGATTTCATTAAAATTATACTTATCATTATTACTAAAATTATTAAAAGAATTTTTACTTAAATATTCTAAATTGCTTTCATTTTCTGTAACAATTGTTTCTTTAAATTCATTATTAATACTTCTAATAGTATTATTGTTAAACTCTTTATTTAAATATTCCAAGTTACTTTTATCTACATCAACGTTTTTTTCTTTAAAATTAGAATTAACTTTATTTATATTATTTTTCGATGTTTCTTTAATTAAATTCTCTACATTGTTTTCATTTTCTTTAACTATATCCTCTTTAAAAGTATTATTTTTATTTAATAAATTCATATCTTTTTTTATAGTGTTTAAATTATTTATATTATTATTAAATTTATTTAACTTCATTATTTTACTGTAAGAATCTTCAGAATTTAATGATTTTTTTTTATTTAAATTATTAGAATATTCAGAAATATTATGAGAATTTTCACTTAGTTTTTTACTAAAGTTATCATATATATTATTTTTATATATAACATCTATATTATTTTTTAAATTCAAGTGAGTATTATTAATATTATTATCTACCTCATTTATATTTTTATAATTTGTAGAATTTAACGATTTTATATTATTTTCGCTATTACTTAAATCAAGTGTATTAGAATTACATAGAAATTCATCATATTTTCTGTTAATACTACTATCATTTTTTTTTACTTCGCTTTTTTTTGTAATTGAATTTTGTTCATCATCTGTTTTTTTAAAGTTCATATCCAAATTACTTTTATCTAAGTTTTCAAAATCTTCTAAATTACTTTTTTTATTATAATTATGTAAAAATTCATTCATATATTTTTCTTTTAAATAGGTATCATAGTAATTTACATGAGATAGGAAAAATGAATAATTTTTAGAAAATTCTCCTTTTTTAATTTCTTTTAGCTGCTTTAAAATATCATTCTTTTTTATTTCTTCTAAGGATTTTTTATTCTTTTCTACATTATATTTCTTCAAATTATGATCAACATAACTTTTATTATATCCATTTAAAAAATATTTCAAATTTATTTTTTCACTTTTTTCTCCAAATTGATTTAAAGTCAACGAATTTATATCTAATTTTTTATTAGGGTGTAAATTATTAAAAGATATTTGCTTGATGTTATTTAATTCTTTTAATTCTTTATCATATTTTCTACAATCTTTTAAAATTCCTTTCAATTTTTCTGCTGCTTTTTTTTTAAATTCATTGTTAAATATTTTTGCTGCTTTCGTTTTAGTACTACTATTTAAAACATTCTCATATAACCATAAATTGGGATCTTCGATCTTTTTTATATTTAATTTATTCATATTAAAAATAGTTTCCTATTTTTGTCATATTATTAAGAATATATTTATAAATTCTATTTTACATTTTAAAATAAAACCTCAAACATATTTTCGTTAATATTTCATCAAATAAACAAGATATACTATCATATAAAATTTATTACAAATAGCTAAAATTATGTAAAATAGTTTTCAAAAAGTATCTTAAAAATTTTTATAAAAATATTTTTCATAAAAAAAATTTTAATTAAAAAATATATTGTAATTTTTTTTTTTTTTTTTTAAATTTAAGATATATTTATATATTAAAATAAAAATTATAGAATAATTAAAAAAAAAAAAAAAATAAAAAAAAAAAAATAAAAATGGTAGCAGTGGAAAAATAACTATAATTTTTCATGATACATTATATAATTAGTAAAAAAAAAAAAAAAATTTTCTTTTTTAAAATTCTTAAATTTCTTTAAAAAAATAATTTTTTAAATAATAGTTTAAGAAAACTTTTAAAATAAAAAAAAAAAAAAAAAAAAGAAAGAAATGTTTTTATTAATTAAAAAATATTAAAATGTATTTTGTTTCGTTTTAATAAAAAGGAAAAAATTATATGTTATTTTAAAAAGAGTTTTGTAGCAAAATGCTAAAATATGTATTAAATTAATATATAATATAATAATAAGAAAATTTCAATTTTTTATTTGAATGTATTTTTTTTTTTTTTTTATTTTTTTTTCTTAAAGTGGTTAATAAATTAATTAAATTATCAACATAAATGATTTATAAAAAAAAAAAAAAAAAGAATATATATATATATATATAGATATAGATAAAAAGAAAATATTTGAAAATATTAAGAATTAACAAGAATGAAAGTAAGTAGAAATAAGAAAAGTAATAAAAAAACTAGACAAAATAAGGAAAAGTATAATTCATCTAAGAAGGTAACAAAAAATAATAAAACTGTATCAAAAAGTAAAATAACAAAATATGATAAATTAAAGAGTAAGAAAGTTGGTAAAAGTAACATATTAAAAAATGGTTTATCAAAAAATTGTAAGTCAATGAAAGTTCAAAAAGGAATGAAAAAAATAAAAGTTAATTCATTGAAAATCAAAAGTAAGATAAAAAAGAATGATTCATTAAAAAGTAAAACGCGAAAAGATAATAAAAGATACAGTTGGTTATTTGAAAAAAAAAAAAATGAATCCGTTGGTGATAGCAATAGTGAGAATGAAAAGGATATTACTGAAAATAAAATAAAAAAAAAAAAAAAATTTGTTTTATTTAAAAAAAGAAAAAATAACAATAAAAGTAAAGTTGTTCTAAGTTGCTTTCAAAATTTGGGATTAAGTGAAAAAATGTGTAAAAGTATATCAACCAATTTAAAATACAATAAACCAACAGATATTCAAAAATTATGCATACCTAAAATTTTTAGTAGAAAAGATGTTATATGTGTTAGTAAAACCGGATCTGGAAAGTCACTTGTATATTTAAGTACATTAATAGATATATTAAAAGAACATAGTAAATATTTTGGCATAAGAGGATTAATAATTTTACCAACAAAAGAATTAGTTATACAGATTTATAAATTAGCAAAAAAAATTTGTTGTAATTTTTTTAATCTTAATATAAACATTATTATAGGTGGAGTTAGTTTAGTAAAGCAATTTGATATCTTAAAAGAAAATTTAGATATTTTAATTTGCACACCAGGAAGAATGAGTTTTATATTAGAAGAAACTAAGCTGAGTTTAGAAAAAGTGGAAATATTAATTATTGATGAAGCTGATAGATTATTAGAATTAAATTATTACAATGATATGAATTTAATATATAAAAATTTAACTAATACTTCTAAGCAAACCATATTAATTAGTGCAACGTTACCAACAAACGTGGAAAATTATTTTAAATTGAAATTAAATAATCCTGATATCGCGTTTGTAAATTCAGATAATATGATAAGTGATCAGTTAGATTTACATTTTTTATTTTGCAGATCATATGAAAAGTATGCTGTACTTCTTAAATTAATTTTAATATTTAAAAGTAAAAATTTAGGGAAAACTATGTTATTTTTTTGTACAAAATATCACATATTATTTTTTAGTAAAATTTTAAATTACTTGAAAATATCACATTCTGTTTTATATGGAAATGCTGATACATCTTTTAGATTTCAGCAGATTAATAATTTTACAAATGATGAGAAAATTCAGTTTCTATTAGTAACTGATTTAGCTTCAAGAGGAATTAATATAACATCTGTTCAGAATGTTATCAATTATAATTTACCGTTTTCATCTAAACTTTTTATTCATAGAATTGGAAGAGCTTGCAGAAATAATATGAAAGGATATGCTATATCTATCGTAACATATCAAGATATTTTATATGCTTATGAGATATGTTTTTTTATTGGAAAAAAATTAAAATTCTTTAAAAATGTTGAAGATAGTAAAAAAGAAAAAATTGAAAACAATCTAGAAGATTTAAATAATGAAAGCGATGGGAACAAAGAGAATAATTATAATGAAACAGATGAAACAAGTCATCATCATTTTGATGAAAAAGGCAAAAATGCAATAAAAGTTGATAACAATATAAGTGAACATAAGGAAAAGGATTATAATGATATAAATGAAAGTAAAGAAAAAAAAAAGGATAATAAGAAAAACTGTAGTGACATTATATATTTAGGGGCATTAGATAATATTTGTGATTACGTAGAATATATTGAAAATTTAAAGAGATTTGATAGTGAATTAGTTTCTTTAAATAAGAGCATTTTAGCTTCTTATAAAATTTATTTTTCTATGCGACCAAAGGTTTCTAAATATGTCAGCACGAAGTGTATTAATAAAATAAAAAAAATGGGTGGGATATATAAATTGTGTTTATGCTACCATCCTGATTTGATATATAAGAATTGTTTTTATAACAGCGACATTATTAATGTAAATGAGAATAATAAAAATTTAAATAATCCAAATGATGTTGATGATATTTTCAGTAACTTAATAAATTTTTTAAAAACAAATGGTAAAAAAGAAGGAAAAAATGATTATGTAAATAATGAAAACAAAGAAAACATTCAAAAAAAAAACACCACAGATAGCACAATTTTAGAGATGAAAGATGAATTAAAAAACAAAAGAGAATTTGTTTTGGATAATAATAATATTATTGATATAAATAATAAAAATGAGAAAAATTATTCACACAATGAAGTATATTCATTTCTACATAATTTTCAAAATAATGATAATAACAAAGTAAAAAGTATATCTGAGGAGGTAAAAGAAAAATTAAATAAACTAAAAGAAAAAAGTGAAAAATATAAATATAGTAAAAATAGTTTTTTGCCAAATGATATAAGTGATTTAACGTATTCATTTGCTTTGGGGTTATCTGATGAAGAAATTGATATTGAAAATTATGAAGAACGGGATAAAAACATACTACTAAATAGTATAAATGAAATAAATAATGAAAAAAAAAAAAAAAAAAAATTAAGTAAAAGAGCATTAAGAAAGTTATCTAAAGAAAAAAGTGGAATTAATAATATAGAAATTTCTCATAAAAAAAAAGAAGAATTTTCTTTTGATGATATTTTAAAAAAAATAAATGAAAAAAAAATAAAAAAGGACACTAATTTTAATGATTTAAAAACACCTGGTTATGACTTACCACCAGATGAAGAAGAAGAAATGAATAAACAAAGATTTATAAAAAAAAATATGTGGGATAAAAAAAAAAAGAAATTTGTTATGACAGAGATAGATACTTTTCAAGATAAAGTAATAAAAGGTAAAGACGAACAAAAAAAAAAATCCAAAAATAATATGAATACTGCAAATATTTATCAGAAGTGGGTAAAAAAAACAAAAAACAGAATTAAAAAAATTGGAGAATTAGAAGATGATAATTATAGGAGAGATAATAAAAAGAAAAGTATAATAAATATAAATAAAAATGAAATTCAAAAGACTGAAAATAATGATAAAGAAAATAATTTAAATATGTTAAAATTAATGCATCCAGAGATAACTGACGCATTATCAAAAAATATAAAATTAACGAAAAAACAACAAAGATTATATAAAAAATATATAACAGGAAAATACGTAAATTCTAAAGAAAAAGGTGAGAAAAGTTCTCAATTAATCGCCAAAGAAAAAAAAAAAATGTTACAAAAAAAATTAAAAACAGATAAAAAATTTAGAAGCAAATATTTGAAAATTAAAAAAAGAAAATATGAAAAAAAGTTACAAGAAAAACAAAATTTGAAAAGTGCGAGATCCAGATCATTAATTATTATAAAAAAAAAAAAAATAATAAAATAAATTCCCATTTATTATGATATCACAAATTAAAATTTGGAAACTTTTTTTATTTTCATCAATATATGTGTAAAAAGATAAACATTTTAAATTTGAATTAAGAAAAATACATATATATATATATATATAATTAATTTGTTCAAATAAAAATATTTTTAATTTTTTTACTTAGTTTGATTATTTATGTTTTAAAAAAATATATGTTTATTTTTAAATATATTGTTTTGTATTTTTTTAAATTAATAGATAAACATTATTTAAAAAAAAAAAAAAAAAAAATAACTTGAAACTAATTAAAATAAAAAATTCAAAAAAAGAATTTTTATATTTTTCTTTTTAAATTTTTAATATAAAAATTTACAAAAAAAAAAAAAAAATATTAAGACATAGAAAAATAAAAATTTATAAATTAAAAAATATTACAAAAAAAAATGTTACAAAATTATATTTTTTTCTTATATCAATTTAAAACTTAATTGTGCTATTTATTTATTTTTTTTATTATTTTTTTTTTTTTTTTTGCATAAAAATTTTATAATTTTATATATCAAATATATCTTAGATTCTGTATTCATTTTATGTAAATGATAATAAAAAATTTAATTTAATAAAGATAGAATTATTCAATTATTTATATTATTTTCATTTTTATTTTTTATATGTACTTAATTTTTTTTTAATTTTTTTTTTTTAGTAATCATAAAAATATCATTTTCTTGTATTTTTCAAATAATTTTGTAAATTACTTATTCTTTTATCAATATCATTGAAAGATATATTTAATACATTTGATTCTCTTAAAGGGTTATTATTTATATTATATTTAAAGTTTTTTTTTTCTAAATTTATTTTATTATTATTGTTATCATTATGACTACTACTACTTCTACTACTATCAATAGAAAAATTATAAAAATTATTGGGTTTTGATATTAATTTATTATTTCTATTTTTTAACTGTTCTAGTTCCTTTCTAAAATTTTCTTTTAATTCTAAATCTATATTTTTCTTAAGTTTTAATAAATTATTTTGTTTTTTTTTAATTTCTTCTTTTTCCGAATTAGAAATTTGAGTTTTAATATGATTAATGCTATTATGAAATTCAGAATATTTTTTATCATCTTTATTTTTTAATTTAGTTATACATAATTTTTCTTTATTACTTTTTTTTTTTTTTGTATTTTTTTCATTGTGTATGTTTGGAGAATTTTTTTCTAAATATGTTTTGATTTTTTGATTAGAAGATGTGCTATCTATTCTTTGAATTTTTTCGCTATCATTTTTCATATTTATTATATTATTAATAGAATTAATATCATTTTTTCTTATTTTACTAATTTTATTATTTTTTAAATTATTTTTTTTTGAATCATTATCAGAAAGTGGTAACTCAATAATTTTACTACTAACATTTTCAATATTTCTCTTAATAATATTTTCTGTGTTTTTTTTATTATTATTAATTAACTTACTTTTTTTGAATGAATATGGAGAAGAATATTTTTTATTTAAAATATTTTGATGGTAATTATAATTATATATATCACAATTATAGTTTTTTTTAATCTCTTTTATATTTAAGTTATTTAAGGTTATCTTATTATTATTTTTATTTGTATAATTTTCATTATTTGAAGATTTTTCTAATAATTTATTTGGTGGTATATTTATATTTTTATTAGATAAAATACTATCTTTTGAATTATAATAATTTTTGATACCTTTTGAAATTATATTATTAATTTCACTAGATAAATTACGAATATTTTTATTATTAGAGATAAGATGTTTTTTTAATTCAAATTTAGATATAGAAGAAAAACTTCTATTTGGAAAATATTTTTTCTTTTGAGTATTATCATTTGAATTTAATTTATTCTTGTAATCCATATAAAAAGAATTATTATATCTTCCTTTGTCTTTATAAAAGGAACTAATAGAATTACTTTTTGAGGCATTTTTTTGAAGTATCATTTTATTATTATTTGCATTAGTATATTTAAAACTGCATGAATCATAATTCTTAATACTCCTTCTCCTTGAATTATGTATACTGTCATTAATACTTCTTATAGAAAAATTTTTAAATTTTAAATTAGAATGAATACTTTTAAGAGGATTATTATGATAGGTAGAAGATGAATATGGTTTAAAACTTTTTTCTGAATTATTGATATTATAATTATAAAAATTATTTTGTAATGAATTTGATTCTCTTTCATAATTTTTTACGGAAAAATTTCTCTGATATTTAAATATTCTATCATTTTCTATTACATTTTTCAACCTTATAACTTTTCTTCTTAAATATTTAATCTCTATAATAAAGTTCGTTTCTTTTATTTTATAATTTTTTATTTCTTTTCTCAATTTACAAATGTAAGCTTTTAATTGATCCTTTTTTAAATATTTCATTTCATTATAATAATCTTTTGAAGTATTTCCTTCTGAACTAACATTGGAAATTAAATCATACAATTCGTTTGAATTACTTCTATAATTTAACTACATAAATAAAATTTGTATACAAATATATTTTCATATATATAATTATTTTAAAAAAAAATATGTATGTTTATTTATGAAATTAAAACCTTTCAATAATAAAAAAATAAAATATAATAATAAAATAAACAAATTAATATTATCATATAAAAGTAATGATATATTTATTTACATACACATGTAGTAATTGTTAACCACATTATATATATAAATATTTATAAAATATATAATAAATTATTTGAATAAAAAATATTTATCTTTTTACCTCTTCTTTCATTTGTCTGAATAACTCTTTAGCTGATCCCTTTAAAAAAAAAAAAAAAAAGAAAAAAGAAATTTATTAATATTTAAATTAACATATAATATTTACATAGTATTAATAAATAATTATAAAAGCCTACTTTAACTGTATTCATTTTTATAACATTGAAAATACTAAAAAAATATATTTATATATATATATATATATATTCTTCATTATAAATCTCTATTAAATTTTTTATGCTTCTTCATTTTTTAGTTATTTGACTTTTTTAAATAATTTAAAAAGAAATGTTTTAACAAAAAAAGAAAAAAAAAAAAAAAAAAAAAAAAAAAAAAAAAAAAAAAAAAAAAAAAAAAA